CACTGGGCATTGCTGTGCTGCCTCAGCCATCAGACTTTTTTTCATTCCTCCTTCATAAACCAAGCTCCTGTAAGCCTGAATCATTCTCACAAGATTTTGCAAAGGTTTCAGTTTGTCAATCAGCTGTTAATGATATTTCATAGGCAACTGCTTGAGTGCTGCTGAGTGCTGCATTCAGGTGTCTAAATACTTGTTGCAATTGGATCCCAGATATTTCAACCTTGTTTACCAGTCTGAAAGACAATGAGTAATAGGAGAAAATAGCTACAGCCTTGCAGCTGTAGAGTCTGTTTCCTGGCACTAGATCTAGTTATTATAAAGCTTTCCGGAAGCTAGATCACCTCTGCAGTGTAAGAACAAAATAAGAAAAATACCAAGACTTGCACTATGGAGGGGAAAAAAAAGCTGTGCAAGTAAATTTCTTCATTTCTTGTACTCTGTTGCTCCTTACTGTGGGCCTCTTCCTTTCTCCAAACTGGATCATTGTAGAAATGTAGAGGCAACTTTAAAGAATTCTAAACTCGTTTTTAATGAGTGTATTTCCTGTAGTATTTGCAACACCCAAAACACCTGATAACAAATCCAGTACAATGGACTACTAAGAAAAACGGGACAAAAGATGGAGTAAAACAGGCAAAGGCACTGAAAGAGACTGACACCAATGCAGTGGTTTGGTTTTTTGCTATCCCAACTATCTTTTGTGAGGACTTAAATTAGTATTAGATAATGCTAAGAGGATATTGCTGTATACAAAGTCTGGTCTTAATCATATGCTCCCTTAAACATTGCCCAGCCATACCAGTGAGTGTTTGTAAAAATTGGAACAAAAAGTAAAATCACGCAGGCTATGGACTTGATTCCATATCACATTTCATTGTTACAGCACAGCAAACAACAGACTGTTTACTCTGAACTGCTGTAATTCTTCGCTATTACTGCCAACTCTGTTGACGTATAAAATTTAGATGGTGTTCTACTATGTTTTCACTGCTAATGATTCACTGATAACATATTTCAACCTAGAAATGCCTCTTCTCATGCAAACACTTTCAGGAAGACAAAGTTATAATAAATTTTTCTGTTGTAGTTTAAGCAACACCAGCATTTAATGCAACTTTACCTTTCCATTGGTTACACATGCAGTGGAAATCATGCCAGGGATGCAAAAATCCGCTGGTTTTTTACCTGGTGAGGTACGGAAGCGGCACTGTCCGGTCATCGGATCATACTCCTGGTTTTCATCAGAGCACAGGCACAGGAAAGAACCATCGACGTTTTCACAGAGGGCTTCGCCACATACTCCACTCAGCATTTCACATTCATTCACATCTGGGGAAAAAGTCCAAAACAGAAATCAATTCAGATTCATTACTGACAGTTTGTTCTTTTACCTGTAGTACCAGTGCCAATACTGTCTGCCAGATTACAGATGTGATCTCTGGGGAAGGATTAAAAACTCACTAATACCTAAGTGGATTCATAAACAAGTAGTCAGTCCTTTGAAATAAAGGCTCCTGAAAGGCACAGTACAGTTTATAGACTATTGGTGCCGATTAAGTGCTGCTTGTAGACCAGAACACTGGCTTTCATTTCTTCCAGTTTTTTGGGGGTTTCTTTCTCATTTTTAAATACTTGCTTTTCTTGGGATTTAAAATTCAGACTAATTTTATTTGTTTTAATTTTCTTTACTATCGGATTTCGACTGAATTCAAGGAGCAAAATGAGTACATTTCAGTGCAATTCAGACTGCACTATGAAAAGAGAATTCCCTTTTCTCCTCAAAATCCCATTTTCCTCATGGACATTCACTGAACAGTGAATTCCCCAGCCTCGCCACCACCACATGCCTCTCATATGCATGGCCTTGAAGACTGCTTTGGAACCCACAAGGGTTATGCCCAGGTCACCCAGGGGCCCCCTGCAGAACACTGTAAATTTTCTCTCCCCAAAAATACCATGTATTCTTAATTTGGATTTCATGTACTTGCTGACTAGTCTACCCTGAAATGCTTTTTTGATTGAGGGGAGAGTTGTCTGTGGTTTGAACAAGGGTTACCACATATTGTCAGAATCCCTTAACTTTACATCTTTCTAGTTGCTAAAGTTTATGTTTGAAAATCTACTTTGTCCACTAATGACAGAATCTGAAAATTATAATTCAGAAATTTCTATAATTGAGTGTGGTCTGAAGTGTAACTTGTGAGGCAGCATTTTATTCTTTTTACTTTATCATGCTCTACACCTACCTGAAAGGAGGTTTTATTGAGGTAGGAGTCGGTCTCTCCTCCCAAGTAACAAGTGATAGGATGAGAGGAAATGGCCTCAAGTTGCACCAAGGGTGGCTTAGACTGGATATTAGGAAACGTTTTTGCACTGAAAGGTTATCAAGCACTGGAACAGGCTGCCCAGGAGTGGAGTCACCATCCCTGGAGGTATTTAAAAGTCGTGCAGATGTGGCACTCATGGGCATGGTTTAGTGGTGGTCTTGGCAGTGCTATGTTAATAGTTGTTCTCGATCTTAAAGTCTTTTCCAACCTAAATGACTCTAATCTAGTCATATGACTGAATGTTGATTTTTGTGTACTTTTATATAAATACCCATTTTAACTTACGGCTTGCTCAGCAGTTTTAAAATGTACTTTATTTTTTTTCTTTATCTTTTTCCTGAATTCTGTCACAGGGAGTAATTCTTCTTTGGGGAACTTTGCCTGGTGAGGAACTAAAGAGACCTACCTTTTCCTAAAATTGTTTTGGTAGATAACTGGCAACTCAGAATTAAATTTAGTTTCATACCAGCTTTTGCTCTCTCTCTTTTTTTTTTTCTTTCTTTGCTTCATTTGTTTTCATCTGTGAAAAGTAACTGTATGCAAAAATATACATTGGTATGCTGCAAACTAAGTGCCAAATGACATAAAGAATTTTGTAGTAAAACTATTTAATATATTATGAAACACATACAAACACTTCAACAAACTCCTCCTCTCTGTTTGGTATTCCATTTAGGTCTCTGTTCCTAGTAAATGTGTTTCATCCTGAGTTTGGCTTGAAGAAATTGCTTAACGAATACCTTTCCTTGATTTGGTATTAATTTTATATTTGAAACTTGTGTTGCCTCAGATGGTTCTCAGGTCCAGCCATCAGTATTAACAACATATCTGGAAATCTATTACTCACAGGAGAAACGTGCAGTAATTACACATCTACAGAAATCTCACATCTTTTCATGGTGATAGATGTCCTTCCTGGAGCTCAAAGGCAATGTTAAAATCTGTTCAAATACAATGTGCCTCGGGAGGTGTGCCATCTAACTCAGACTGGCTCTACCACATACCAGACATTATTTCCTGTAGGGGGTAGTACTGAGTTCTGGTTATTCAGCTAGGAGACTTAAACAGATGTTGCATTTAAGTAGGCTAAAGTATTAAATTCAATCTCATGATTTATCTTTGTGAATCATCCTGATGTGCAGAAATAGTGGGTTTTCTTGGTTTTTTGTTAAAGAGCTAAAGCTCGTCTTATTTTATGTTGGTTTCCATTCAGTCCTAATTACAGGTTCTCATTAAATGGATACACAGCTAAATTTCCATCTGGCACAAAATTCAGTGAGTAAAGCACAGCTCAACCTTATTTTACTAGTAAGTGATTCAACTAACAAAAAATGACTGAAACCAAAAATGTTCTTGTGAAGGAATGTCTTTTGCTCATATGCTGCTTTTTGTTCACTACAACCTTGCAGGAATGACTGCTTGCACCTAAGAACTCACCTGTGCATCCTTGCCCATCCTGTGAGTCCTGATACCCTTGGTAACAGAGGCAGCGGTAGGAGCCATCCATGTTTTCACAGAACCCATGACTGCCACATATTGTGCCGTTTGCACATTCATCAACATCTGCAAGGAAGAATTTTAACATCAGACAGGCCATGTGACAGTCACAGGCAGACATTCATGAATAATGCAAAGAAACAACAGATGTGCCATTTTTGCAAACAGATGCTGTGATGTCTGTCTATACAAGGGGATGGAAAACACAGAGGACATAACACAAAAAATTAATGTAAGCACACGTACAGTTTAAGAAACTGTTTCAGTGTTAACTTTGCAGGAAATATCTTACGCCAGACAACAGTTTTGGTCAACTGTCTCCAATCAGTTTCACCAAACTTGCCTATCATGGCACGATGCTACATACCACAGAGTAAGACATAGTTTAAGTATGATCATCTCTCTGACTGACTTGGAGATGCTGCCAGTGTAGCATTATACAGTCAACATCCGTGAAACCGAACTCACTGTGCCTGCAAGAAGACTTCAAGGGCACGGTTGCAGAAGTGCTACACAGATCTCATTCTGGCTCTCAGCACAGAAAAGAACTTCCTGGTGTACATGCAAGTGGGAAATAACTGTGGCCTGAGCCTTCCAGCCTTAATCCTGTAAGTTCATGCATATGAATAATTGTACTCAGGTAGGCAAAGTAATTGCAATGCCTCCATGCTTTGCGTACTGGCCCTCTCATTTGTAGTTCCCATTTGTGGATTGCTGGCCTTACAAGTAAAAACCACTACATGAGTAAGTCTGTTCTTTGACTCAGCTGCCCATCAAACTATAATGAAGCCGAGCAGCCTGTGGCAGAAGGTGGTTTATTTTTAAAGTGTACTACAAGTGCTAGGAAAGTATTATTTTTCTCTTCACTCAAAGTAAGACCTAAACACAAGGCCCTGACCATCTGTGGTCATTAAAGATGTCGTGGTGCGTTTTTCAGGAGGAGGAACATTAACTAAAACCGGGAACCTGCCAGGATACTAGGATTAGTACCTTCTGCTTTCTAAATTCCTCAGCAGTTGGAAGCAGAAAGATTATTGCTATATTTCTTTCCTAGAAACCATTACGACTGTTAAGTAAGGTTGCTGTCTGCTTGGAATTACCTTCTGCACTATGCCTCAAGGGTAATTACATTTTAAACGGTGAATAAAGTTATTTGATGGTCAATTCTGCACATCAGAGTGCCGAATGTGACGGCGCTTACCATCACTCTACCTCCAGTGAAGGCCTTAGGCAGTCACTGAACTAAAAAGCTGGTGGGACTGAGTCCTGCACTGCCACAAAGAGAGGGCTGCTTTGAACAGGTGAGCAGCACTGCCGCTTGCTGTCTTTATAAAGGATAGAGTAGGGCTCAAACACAGTCCTGTCTTCTCCTCCAGCTCTTCACAGCTGTGTCAAACAGAGGCCTAGAAAAGTCAGCACAGATGCACCTTGTTCTCCTGACAGCGCTCACCAAGCAACAACAGTTTCTACTTTTAAATTGGGTCTTACACTCAGCTGAAAGGAAATTCTTGGTCTTTGAACCATGTGGTCACAGATCCCCAAGGTAGCCAAATTTTAACAGCATGGCATTACCATCCACACAGGTTACCTGTTGTGCTGCTCTCTTGCTCCCCAAGTGCTAAAGTTCACCCACACATGCTTCTGTCTGCCTCAGGGAGAGGCTTTTTAGGGGTCTTGAAAACCAGCTATTCCAACATGCCCTGGTTGGGGGTTTGAACAGGCTTAGAATCACACCTATCTTCAAGGCCAGAAGAGGCCATACACAACCTCTTAGGTTAAAAAAAACTGTCTCTGGCAATTTCTGTACCAGTAGAGAAAACTGTGGAATTTTAACATCTTTTTCAGAATGGCATCTAATTTCACTTTAGGGTGCTTAAGTGATGGAAATTTCACCTCTTCTCCTACTGAACTGATGCACTGGTTAACAATCTTCAGCTGAAATACAAAATTCATGCAAAACCTGTATGTACTAGCACCGAAATCTAGGAGACATACACGACTATAATTGATAATTACAAAAAAAAGTACTTGCAGATGGAACTGGCAGAATAATTTATTTGGTTTGTTGGTTTTGTAGATAAAAGTTTTAATGGTATTTTAATCTTGATTTATTAAACAGAGGAAAATATTGAAGGAATTTATCTTAGAAAGTGTTATTTGTATTTGGCAAAGAATACAATAGCTGGTATGCCTATTCTCACGGAACTGAATATGAAAATTCGGGTCGTTTCTGCATACTGAACTTACTGAAATCTACCACAAACCCTCCCTAGTAGAATTAATTCAGCAACAAGAGTAAGCAACATATCTGTCTGTATTAAAGACACTGTCAAAGGTGAAAGGTCAAGTATTACCTTTGATACTCTTCCCTTTTCTAGTCACAGTAATGATAGAACTCTAAAAAGATGCATATGGAGTTACTGGAGAAAGAAGATACAAATTCTTTACGGTTGTGTTTTTCTGGTCCCTCTGTCTTGCTGCTGTACACTATACCTGCATAATTTATCTTATTTTAATATTTAGTCTCATGTGATCATCAGAGTTTCACATACTTGGGCAAAAAAATCTGAATACTCTCTCTTATTCAGAAAACCCTGTTAAGAAAAGTTAAGAAAAAGAATTAAGAATGAGTAAACAATGGTGGATTGACAGCCAGGAATTTAAGACAACAGGCAATAACACAGCATTTGGATTTTCTGTGGCCAACTACAGTTTAATAACAAAAGTTCCTGAGCCAGAGGACAGTTACTCTGTTAAAAGCCTAGACAGAAGAAACTACAAGTGGGGATTTTAGAATTACATAAATTACAGTATTTCTCTTAATAGCTAAATGTTTAAGGAAACAGATAGGGGAATGGATCTCACAGCTGCTTCTCCAAAGGTAAGCTAAGGTCATTGACTAAAAAGTCGCAGAAACAAAACTTGTGATTGTAGCAAGTATCCTAATTTAGTGTATAATACAGCCACAGAAGGCCGTTTTGTTTTTAAAAAGTACACAGTCTGAACATGACTTGATCTTTCAGTGTATGGGAAATTACAGAGAAGGTCCAAGCACCAAATATTTTTCCTTGTCTAGACAGCTTGCTCAAAGGACTCCTGTTTTACAGCCGGAAAGGGCATTTGTGTCTTTAATCACTCTGTAAAGCATGTGGCTTGTAATCGGCGATTCTCTTGCTATATGGAGACAAAGCAAGGGGGAAAACTAAACATTAAACTAATATATCCCATGTCTATACAGTGACTAAAGCAGTTCTCCATAATTACAACCTGTTTCAGAATCTATGACTCAGTGCTGCCTGCTTCAATCAAAACTCCTTTGATCTAACAACATCAGGATCTGAAGAAAGGTAAAACATGTGTGCACTCAGGCACACTCCTACTCAGCTCAACACCGTGTTCCTGTTTTCTGCCAACCTGAACAAGATGAAGGCATATTTAACCTCAGACGTGATATTTAAATCTCACTGAAATCTACTTACATGGCAAAGTGTCTGGAAGAGGAACTGTTTCCTGGGACAGTTCTGTACAGAGCTTGGGGGAACAGAGCTCCGATTCTTAGACTTCCAGGGCTGCCCATAATACCCATACATAAAAATCACTGTCATGAAAAATTAGAAAAATGACTATTTGAACAAAGACTTTGGTCATCTAGAGGCAATAATGCTGGATGGTCATTCCAACATTGTGATGACATGGGTAAGAAAGAGATTCTTGTTTTCCCCTTTCTGTTCTTACTTCTCTAGCCAGTGCCCAGGTAAGAAGTAGTTGATGCCCTAAAACATCTCTGTCAGCAAACATGAGAAGGCTGGTGAAGTCTGTGATTACTCATTGTGAAACAAGAAGGTAGCTCACAGAGGCATGCATACTTGAATCTATGTTTGGCAAAAGTCTGAGCTTTCTTACTTCAGTATTTAACCAGAGATTTGGTGGAGCTGTGAAGCTGTCTACTGCATAAAATTTACTCCATGTAACAGATAATACTCCGCCTCAAAAGGAGCCCTAGATTTTCTTCCCTGTATGCAAGCAGAATGATGGTTGTCATGTGCAGTTACAGCAAACATCTACTCTTAAATGGTCTTTGGTGGCAAAGGTAACAGTTACGCACTGTTCACAGCTCTGCTCTTTGTTTCCCTGATTTTCAAACTTCTTAGGTATGCAGTCATCTTGAGCAATGGGAAATGTAGCATTTTTTTCCGTACAGATTTGTAGATTATTCTTTGATCATAAAATGACCTGTGGATGCTCTGTGCAAGGATCCAAAAGGCTCAGATGGGCGATTTATTCAGTGGACAAGGAAAGGAGAACAGTATACAAGACAGTAAGTGAGAGGAAAGGAAGAAGCAGAGGTTGAAGAGCTCTGGTGGGATCTGTAAGTTTTTTCGGAGTGCCTGTTGAGGCAGCCAGTGAAGCTCAGGGCTTGGAGCAGAGAGAGGGGAAAAGTGAGGGAGCCACTGAAAGACATACGTGATTGGACATGGAGACAGAAGAGGCGCATGGGGCCGGGTATTGACTTAAGCATCAGAGAACCTCTAACTGGAGCTTTTGCCAACACAGTTGACTAGCAGCCAACTGGGTAAAACGCTGCCTTTACAGGAACCCCAGAGAGCTCAACAGGGAGGCAGGGAGCGCTCCCTGAGCCTCCTGTTCAGAGAGCATGGCACAGCCAAATTGCTGAACCCGGAGCCAGGCGGCAGTGGAACATTACCACTACAACAAAGGTTTGTCTACACCTTGGAAGAAGACACAGTCTCCACAGCTGTTTAGTTTACTTTGGCCAATGGCCATAAAAACTCCATACCAGCACTGAACCCACATGGGGTTCTTAAATGTTTTATGTTGTTGTTGTTTCTGACTTTTTTAAAAAAATGAGTCAAAGTCAGAGAAAAACAGTCTAGAGATATGGAAAATCTGCTCCCCAGGTACAGAGAGGTGTCTGAATCCAGCAAAACTTCCTCAGGTTCTTTCTCTGATGGTATAAACAGTTATTCTCACTCACTTAACTAGAAGTAAATTCACAGAGGCACCAAGCCTAAAGAACAGTAGCTCCTGTGGCTGGAAGCCACATCCTTTCTCAGTACCTGGAATGTCACACATTCCTTTTGTTTCTGATCCTTTTGTTTCAGCCTGCCTTTTCGAATGAAGCTGACCCCACTACAATTATTAACACTGACGCCATCAGTGCTCCCTTTAAATGAGTTTTTTCAACTCTAGAATTGTTTTTATTAAAATGACAGAATGGAGAAACTAATCGTGATAGAAAAGGAGTGCTGCTGCTTCAGAAGACTAGGAGTACCCTTGCTTTGCCAAGTTATTAAAATACTTTTCCATGTGGTGAATATAAAGTCTGATCTCTATTCCATACACACCACCAATTACTCATGAAGCACGCTCAACTGGTTTTGTACTTGTTGTCTTATTCTTCATTAAAAAGTTCCAAAACTACTCACAATCCTGGAAACAGGATCTTGTGATTTCATCCTTTTCTGTTTAGTAAAAGTTTGGCTTTTTTGTTCTAATGGAGATTAACTCTGTACTACTTAATCTTATGTGATGGTGACTCTTCCCTAGGAACTCTGCTACTTTATTAACTGTCAGAGATCCAGACAGAAGGTCTCATTGTTTCTGGTACATCCCCTAAAATTAGATGCCACTGACCTTTTTTTTCTTTAAGTTGTGTTTCTATTCAGTTCTGCTTTTTCAGTTTCTGGGAGTTTGATTTCACAAGATTAATAAGTGTTCTTCTGACTTTGGTTTGGAATAAAGTGTTTGGTATCTGCGAAGCGCAGGCTGCATTCCTCTCTGATCGCCTTGGGTTTTTTTTCAGCTCTGCTCAACAGTGAGGCAAAACACCTGCTACTACTTTTCTTGCAGAGAAATTGAAGATTTTTAACCATATCCTTCCTAAACACTGGGTGAAATGTATACATGCTGCCAAAAGAGTCCATGGACTTGCTTTGGAATTATCCCCATGACTTGAAATCACAAAATACTGCCTTGGCCCATCAATCACTGGAGTTATTCAGATTAGTTCTCTCTCTACTTGACCAGAATTTTGTCTTGGCAGTAAGAGAATGTTTCTTTCAACTTATGCCATGATTACAAAATAAAGTAAATGTGTATAGAAGAAAAAGCACCAAAAATACTGCAAGATTTTTAAAGTTATCAATAATAATTAAAACACAAATAGTGTGTTTGATGTCATGCTGTATCTAAATATACAGCACTTATTCCCTTACATCAGCATAACAGTATTCTTTCCACTAGTGTATTTCATTTCATTAGCTATGATGTTCCTAACTACATGGTAGGTTATATGCCAGCTCAGATAACAATGCTGTAATGCCTTTTTCCTCTGGTAAAAGGAGGTGGAGTAAATGCAAGAGTCAGACAGAACTTTCAATACATCTCCTCCACTGAAGGAAGAACCTTTTCAGTAACCCTAAGTGAACTATGAGAAGAGTTGGCCCATGAAAATCAACCACATACAGATTTACTGGCGTATTCTTTGGGACAGAGAACAGCTTACTTGGTTCTCTGAAGCTTGAGATCCACCACCCATCGGTTTTAACACTGTGCTATCATCTGCTCAGTGCTTCTCCTCTGCATGCATCCTGCCAAGCTGCTACCATCTACTTTTTTCCCCCTTCTGAACTACTACTTTTCCTACAAGGCTTCTTGCTTTGAACAGTCCTCTCATCCACATGAACAACCATTCTTCATCCAGTTCTGCCAACATCACTGACCACACAAAGTCACACATCTTGGCAGATTGCTGAGTTAACAGTGGGTTTTGGGTACTAGGCCCAAACTGACTACTTTTCTCACCCAGCTGATAACAGCAAATCAATGGGAATGCATTATTGTGACTTGTCTCACCTTCACACGTTCGGCCATCTGCAGACACAGAAAAGCCCCGCTCGCATATGCACTGGTAGGAACCATCTGTGTTTAGGCACTCCCCGTGAGGTGAACAGAGGTCAGATCTCTCACATTCGTTGATATCTGAAAACACAGAGACATTAATAGCTTTGCAAATCATACCCTTAATATTATGCCTAAGTTCAATCAGTCTTAAAAGCAGCTTTTATGCTGCTTTTTATTTATTTTTTTTACCAGCTATGTAAATAGCTATGTAAATGGGGCTCATTTTCCAGAGTAACCAAATCTTCTGGGGCCATTCTTAAACTCCATACAGGCATCAGTATGTTCTGCTGCATCGTACTCTCACTGTATCACTCTCTGTGATGAGGATGAGCAGATGAGAGTGATTTGTGAGACAGCAGTAGCATAAGCCAACATTTCTTCCTGTGTCAGAGCAATTCCATCTCACTGATTTTTGCTTGCTCCATGCTGGTCAACTTCTGCATCTGGTTCCATGTGTTACCAGTGGGTCTGGAGCTGCATTTTTCCCATAGGCTGATTTTAGATAATTTAAAGTCAAATGCTCTTTTTTGCTGAAGGGGAATGGAAATGGTCCCAACAGGTTGCTATATAAGAGTTTGTCATCATTGCTTTTTTTGTAGACTTAGAAAGTGTATTTCAAACACTGCCTTTAAAACTTGTGAATCTGAAGAACAAGCATTTCTTTCTGAGTGATGTCTCACTTACCAAGAAAACCTGCCGTCAACATTAAGGACTGCATTCATTCATTAAAGAGGCATCATTTTCACATGAATTACCATTCAGTTCTGCTTTACAAAAACCTATTAAGAAGTTTTCAGTACCACTCTGAGATCAAACACCAATTTAGAACCACCACTTACACATGAGGCTCATTCATCATCATCCCAGATACTAGAATTTCTTGTTCTTAACTCTGTCTTTTGTTGCTTAGATTCTGGCTGTTCTTACAGCCATACAAAATGCATCAAAGTAGACAACAATTTTGATAGACTAGAGAAATTATGATTTCTGAACCATCATTTCAATACCCATGCCATCCATTATAGAATTCTCTTTAGATACAGACTGATTTTCTCCTGTGTGTAAACCTTCTATGCCAGCATCTTCAAGTCATGGCACGTATGTGGAAAGAACTGAGGCAGCTTGGGAAAGGGTAGTGTCTGTACGAGGGGCATAGGGAAAAGTCAGTGCACTGTGCTTCACACAACACCTACACGTATCACGTCTGAATTCAAGGTAAATACGGACCAATGACATTTCCTAAAGCTCTCTGAAAATCAGGCAAAGTGGGAAAGCAGCAGTGACAGGGACAGTACAGTACCTTTTCAGAAGGCACACTGTTCTCAAGACTAAGTTTCTTAAAACTGCCAGAAAAATACTGGAAACCAAAAGAGCTGATTACACAAGGGTAGAACGATGTATTGAATACAGGAAAACAAAATTAACAATGTTAGGGAAATAGAGTATAATTCACCTGAATGAGCTAACGGCACACTTTCCAATGTTTTGGACTCTTTTTAACTTTGCTCCTTACCAAAAAAAGTTCCTAATTTCTAGTCTAGGTCAGATTCAACTTGCAGTCACTGCATTCTGTGATAAATTTGCCAGTTTAATTCGATAGTTCTTTGCTTTCAATTATGGTGTCCTCTGAACGTAATAAGGGTGTGATCAAGTCACCTCTCATTTTTTTCTTTGACAAAATAAGCAGTTTAAAAACATTCAACCTTTTTCCCCCCAGCTTTTTTTGCGTTCATCTCTGAATGCTCCTCAGCTGATCAGCATCCAATTTGAATTGTGGGCACCAGAATGGCAGTGTACAGCAATGTGCCAAGAGCAGCTGTACCAGTACAAAATAGAGGTAAATAAACCTGATTCTGATCTTCAGTCTTCTGGAGAGTGTGTTAGTGCTACTGGCCAGCGGGCTGCACTGGAAGCTCAGATTCAGCTGACTGCTCTGACGGTGACTGTGTCTCAGCCGGGAGACCACTATCCCAACCGGTGTGACTGAGATGCTTTCTTCAATACAGAACTGGATATACTGAAACGCATATTGGCTACTCATACCCAGCATACCGTGTGTCAAGATCACTCTGCACTAGGGGCCTATTATCTCGATCTTTTACCATGGCCCTAATCTCTCCACTGAAATTCTCTCAAAATTTTTATCATTTTTCTTGCTATTACAAAACTCTGATATAACTCATTTTCAGCCATTTAAAAATGTCTCAGCTCAGTTGCTGTTTAAAATATTTTGAAGGTACTGTTGAAGTGTAAAGAAGCCATCATTTATGATACAAGTATAGCTAGTTTTGTCCAGTACAAAGTATAGGACTGAATATACTGAATATTTCCAACTGACAAATAAATGTTCTGCTATTGCATCCTGTAACAGCTTAACAACAAGTAGTCAGCACAGTAAAAAAAGTCCAACCATACTTAATTCTCTTAGTAAAAAATTTCCCTTTATGGCCTTTCACTGTGTCCACTTCTTTGCTATTCTAACCTGTCACTATTCATTGTATCAACTCCTTTCTTCCATTTGTTTTGATTGGGATCTGACTATTTCTCAAGCAGTTTTACTCCCCTTTACAGCAAGTTGTTATTTTTCATTGTTGGTGGTCTTCTTCTTCAAGGTGGCACTCTTACCTGAAACTATTTCCTGTTTTCATTCACATTTTTCTCTTAAAAATACTGTCTGTCCCTTAGTTGGCTCCTAAGTGCTTTCAGTTTTGTTGCATTTATCCATTTAAAACATGAAGCAGTTTATATAGTGGAGTAAAGAGAACAGAGTGGTATCAAAGCTGGCACTGATTTATAGCTTGTGATCAATCCTTTTTTCTGTCAATGAAAGGTCTAACATAGCTCTTTGGTATGTTGAATACAACATTTTCTGAAAGAAGTCACATAGAATACTCAGAACTTTTACAGAGAATTTGCTGTCGGTTGCACAAGATCTTCAGCATCGATCAGCTGGAATACAGTCTCTCAGCTCAAGTCTAAACTGCATAAGAGAGCAGCCAAAGCAAAGTCCAGTCTCCTGCTCCTCCAGTCATTTAGAGCACGAACACGCTCTCACTTTCCAGCTCTCATACCATAGTTCTCGTCTCACAAAAACAGATGGCAAAAGGGAGTTGTGAGGCATGCTCGGGTGTTGTGCCAACAGAGTTGGGATTGTTCAGAGCTAAAAGCTGCTAAGTATTTTTCTGGGTTTGGCAATGCTGACTCAGCCTCAGATAACACATTATCTTCCTCCCCACTCATCCTCCACAAAGCACTGCAAGTGTTTCAGAGGTGAGAGAGTTTATCTAATGTGACTTGACACTAACTATACTGCTCTTTCTGTCATATCACTGATTCACAGACATAGAAGGTTCTGTCAAAATAAATGTTTCCAGGATTTCGGAAAACAAGCACTGCATCTCTGTTCTGATATGGATTCTCTTTCAAGTTATGGAGGCTGAGATCTCAAGCCTCTTTAAATAATTTCTCAGCATATATTTTCAGAAAGCAATAAAAAATGAGAAATGCAATAAAGTATTACAAATGATAAATAAAATTCGCTTCCATTTCTTAGCATTATCTGTGGCTATCACAAGTTACACTTACAAGCTTGCACATTTAATAATAATGACCCTTGTAATTTTTATAGCTATTTCATACCTTTACATCCTCTATTCACTATCTGCTGGAAACCATCTGGACAAGTGCATTTGTAAGACCCGTCAGTATTCATGCAGTTTCCTCCAAGGCAAACATCACTGTCTTGAACGCATTCATCAACATCTGAAATAAAAGTGTAAGCGAATTATTAGATGATGTAAAAACTGCAGAAATTTTTAATAGTGATACTATGATAGTAATGTAGCAACTTGAAGCTACTTATGTGGAAATCAAGTTTACTACACATTAGAATGTCCCTTTAATTTTCCTTTCATGATATCATCAAACTTCTTGTATTTCTAGAGAGCTTTAAAATTTGAGTTTGTATGTAATTTATTCCTAGAGAATATGTCTAATATGTGCCATCTGCATCTCTAATGAAAGCTATCACAGCAGATCTTCATATTGCTCTCTACCTCTCTTTAATAGTGCTTGTGGTATTGCAGTAGGGCAGTTAAAAAGAAATCCAAGCAGCTGTACATTTAGAAGACAGGCACAAAAATGCCTACTAATGCAAATCTGTGGTTTGTGCACCTTTGGACATGTTTAGGCCACTACACAGAGATCCCTGAGCCAGAAGTGCTCTGACTCAGATCTCCCTTGGAGCAGGAGCAAGCCCAAGCACAGCTGGTGTGTCACACCAGACAAGCTGTGCCTGTGGAGAACACTCCCCAAACCACCACCTCAACAGGAGGTTTGCTGGACAGGGACCACACTGTGTGGACTGCTGTGCTGTTACTTCTTCATGCAGCTCATGCAATGCAATACAGCCATTTGCAGGCTTGGCCGTGAAGCCCAAGAGCTGCCTTTGCTCAAGCCAGAAATCCAGCTCCAGAGTCAGGGCATGCAGGGCCTAGCTCCCAGCTGCCTACACGCCCCATCTTCCCAGCACCAAGCCTCAAGGCCTGTAGACTGTCCTAGTGTCCTGACGTCCATAGGAAGAATGTGCTGACTGACAGAGAGCAGGATAAGTTTCAGGAAATAAACTAGATACAAAGTAATCAAATATTTCAAGAGCAGTGCACTGGGTGTTGTCTCTGCCTAAAGTATTTTCTTCCCGACGTCTTTCAAAGGGCTTAAAGGCAGCCCAATGGAGGACAGAGAGCACAGCTACTGCAGGGACAGGATTAACTCAGCAAGTGCCTACCTTCCAGTGATGGTACAGTTTTGTTTCACTACAGCTAAAGATCACAAAGTATTTAATGACTGGGCCTCAAGTTTTAAAAGAAAACAGAAAACAAGAGAGTCAAATAAAAGAAGCATCTCATCAGCAACTTTCCCTGCCTCCACAGTGCCCCACCTCGTAACTCACTGAGTCTATTGCTCTGATAGTACAGATAGTTTCCTTTGAAAAACAGTTATCAAAGAGTTTTCCACTGCCTTTTATTACTCTGACTTCTTAAGTATGGATTTTAGCTGATTAGAATTGTAACTTTTTCCTGTGTTGTAGGCATAAGTAACAGTTGCAATTAAAAAAGAGAACACAACCTCATTCCTACACTTATCTCTGGAAAGCCCACACTATAACAAAGAGCAAATATCCTTGGGATTTAATCTATTTGATAAGAATAAGAAATAGGGGTAGCTTTCTTACATTAATGATTATTATTGTTAGAATTAAGTGCAGTTTTATCTGCAAAGTTGTGACCTCTTGATAACCATGTTTTATAATAAATCTCAACTGAGAAGTAAATTGTGGTTTATTTAAAACAGCAATTAATTTTGACTAGAAGCATGAGAAAAAATTAATTACTCTCTTGCATTGAGTTAATGTCAAGTTTCATAACAAGAAAGCTTCTTCTGCCAAATTCAGTCAAAACACATTATGTCCCATATAGGATGCAAACCTTCCTTTCTCTGATGCAACTCTAGACAGGTCCTATGGCTGCTGCACAAGAATCTCCAGAATAATCAGAGACAGTAGCTCATGCTTGAGATGTTCAGTGCTTTTAGCACTCTTTACTGGTGCAGGTCAAGAACACTTTGGCTAGCCAGATCTTCTGAAGGCTCCTAGGAGAACACCGGAGCCTCCTACACTTCAGGCAGATTCTTTTCCAGTCACCCGAGTTCTTTGAGCTCTATGTGCTGGTGCGTATCCATACTTCTGTCAGTTGAGAAAGGCCGATACGTTATACCCACAGATGCGCTCATGCTTTGTGTTCCCTCATATTCAGAGCAACACGGAGCAGAAAGTCTCAATGTCACCTCATCTCAAGAACAAGAGATGCTGAATGAGAGGGTAAGGCGGAAATAAAATAAACATGTATGTGGTCATGCATCTTGGAGACCTTTGACTACTAGGAAGTAACCTCTTCTTCTGTCTTTAAGTGGAAGGCTGTACATATGGTCCACCTGTGGATGCTCATGTATTTCCAGGCTACTAATTTCCAAGCAGATAACAGCAAGTGTCTACAGGTGCTGCAGAAGGGAGAAGTTCTTCAGCCTTGGCTAAGAGGGTGTACAAGCATTTACAATATGAATGGACATACGGATTACTGCTCTCAGACAGAGATATCTCAAACAGGGCCTCAGCCCAGCTTTCTCATTTCCTTAAGAGTTCAGGTGCAAGGATGTATACAGACAATGTATACCGCATGTACACAGGTATTCATCAATGTATAGAACAATTATTTGCAAATTACCTTTATTCTTGAACAAGTGAAATACCGTGCAAAGACTTCCAGACAAAAACTTCAGTCAGAGAGTTCCAAAAAGCACAGTTGAAAATGAGCACAACATAATTCTGCCAAATCCTGTAATATCCCCAGAAGTTTGCACAAGTGTATAATGATCAAACCAGCAAACTGCTGCTTAAGCTGCTATATCTTTAAGAAAACTTCTGAAGCAGAAGAAATCCTTGTTGAATAAATAAGCACATTTCTTACAAGTGATCTGCCAATCACATTGGTTTTATAGCCTGATACATTTTTGGGTATCCTCTGACGTGACAAATGTCCATCGCTGGTTTTCGAGAAACTGGCTCATTCTCAAAAGAGCTTATGCCTATAGCTGAAATTCTCAAGATCTTACTGAAAAAAAGGAATCAGTAGCTTCAGTCCACAAGCGTACCTTCACACTGATCTCCAGTAGATGATAATGTGTAGCCTTGGCTACAAATACATCTGAAAGACCCTTCTGTGTTCCTGCAGCGACCATTCCTACAGAGTGATCGGTGCTGGCATTCGTCTATATCTGTAGCAGAAGAGACAGTGGAAACGTAACACATCTGAAAATACCAACTTCTAATCAAATGGTGCAATAACCAGTTCTGAACAAACCACCAAACATCCAGTACTGCTTGACTTGGTCTTGTTTATTAAAAAATGCAGTCAGTCAGTATAATGCATAAAAATATAGGAAAACGCAGATGTGTCAACTTATCCCTCAATGTACAAACAGGTACACACAGACACACAAATACACACACATGCTGCTTGAGAGCTGCTTTTGTTTCTTTTACATCTGGCAAAGGTAACAGGCCAGCCACTCCAGTGAGTCAGCAAAACCCACAAAATACTTTCCAGCAGGATCACCACCTTTTAACAGGGCATGGTTTTCAGATGCACACTGAGAGGCTGTTCCCCTATTAAGTTGTACCTTAAGGTTCCTTTAAATACTTGCCTTGTAACAGTATTAATACTCTAAGTATGGGGAAATGTCTCTCTGCTTCTATAACCACTGCTAATCCCTCAGCGCTTCAGTTCTCATAGACTGGGGTCAGCCTGGGTTAACAGATGGACTTGAACATCACACTTAAATTTTCCTACAAAAAACTGAAAATATTGGAGGGCAGTGGCCCTTTGAACTCAGAACACACCGCATGCCTTGTTTGAGCTAGGAAACCTGTTTTCCCTCCATTATTTATAAAATACTCATTAAGGAACAATAATTAAATTGACATGGTAGGTTCTTAGTCACTTCTAGGATTTAGGCACGGCTGAATGTCCTTCTAAAAATATACTCCAATTCAAACAGGAGAAAGTTACTCAATGAGGTTTTTCAGGTCTGTGTTATGGCTACATAGTCTGACCTCTTGAGTAACGGTCCCTTGCAACCACAGAAAGTTTTGAATTTAAGGATCACTGAAATCTGTGGGGCTGTGTGAAGCATCTGGGCACGTGTACTTACTCAAGAAGGGTGTACTTTAAGAACAACACTCTGCACATGCCAGCTCGGCTTGGCAAGGGCCCTTTTCCATGAAAGGCTCAGAGGAAGCAGTCAAACTTTGCCTACATACTTTCCCCAAGACCAGTCTGCTGTGTGTCCTGGACAGCACATTTAACTCACTCAAGACACTTAACTTACACTGAGGTTTTGTTTCAAACTTCCTGTCAAATCTACACGAACAACCATTTAGTTTTGCCATATTATTTTTAGCACTCAGAAGTCTGAAACTGTTTGGTGCCATACACAGACTTAGGGAAGGGTGGGGGGAAGGGAAAAGAAGAAAAAACAACATCTGACAAGAAACGTTTGGGTTGCTGTGTGCTTTTGCAGCCTGGAGACATTCTCCCAGATTTCCACCTTTGGGGGGAGGTTTGAAGAAGTCCCCTCTTGCTGAGGAGAGGGATATTCACACCTCCTGTACACACTCGAGCTTCTCTCTGACTACTGCTCTGATTTCAGGCCTAATTTTGTTCCACTGGCGCAGTCCCAATGGGAATTTTAGATGTGGAAGAAATGTAGAACCTGACACTTTGGAGGTAAAGGTACTGTTCTTAGAAATAGGACACCAAACTATCTCTACTAAATGTACAACTTGACATGCAGCGACACCAATGCAGGCACCAGCTCAGTGTCAATTGACAGTGCCAGGCTCCAAGAGGGTGCACCCTGGCTTTCTTTTATTCCACTCACCCACATGAAAGAAAAAAACCAGACAGAAAGAAAAGCAATACAGGCAGTGAAAGCTGCTGTTCCCAAACCTCCAAAATGACAGAACTGTCAAGGATTCTGCAGAAATTCAAATTTAGCAATATAAATACTACTACATGTTCTTGATTGGCTTTATAACAAGTGTAAAAATCTACATTGTGTCTGTGGAAGCCATAAAATGGAAATGCGTTTTCTTACATTTTTTGTTATTTAGCCTCAGTGTTGTACATTTGTTGTTTATCTGTTTAAAGGCATACTAATGAATGAAAAATATTATCTAAAAAGTAAGCGCAACCTTATGAATTGTAATCATATTCTTTCCTACCTTCACACTGGTCCTTTGATGCCGAGAGTTTGAAACCCTGGCCACAAATACATCTGAAAGACCCCTCCATATTTTCACAACGTCCATTTGTACAGAGATTGCCATATTGACATTCATCTACATCTGTGAATACAAAGAAAGCATAAGTGTATAATTAACTTGAGTACAACCATCTTTCAGTTGAGCTTGGGAATTTATTCAAATTCTGCCATAAGCATGGTTATAATCAGTTGTCCTGTATATTTTGACATTGACAATTCTGCAGCAAGTCTGATTTAAAAGGTCTGAGCAGCTCTGATGACCTCTGTATTAGTTTTGAAATCTTCTGATGGGGTCACTAAAGCTGTACAAGCTGAATGTTGGGAATTAACCACACAGCTACAGAATCCACCACAGTGATAACACTGAGGATGAAGCAGACTAGAAAGTTCTGTCAACCTAATTTTTTTTATTTATTCATCAACACATAGAAGGGTGCTCTAGATTGACATACCACTTTATTGTCATTCTACATCATAATATATATCACTTTATTTGAATCTGCAAATGTGGAGTGAGAAAGATAAAATAAATCAGTGACTGCAAGTAAACTTAAAAAAGAAAAGCAATTCAAATAGTCCCTGTACAGCACAAACACATTGATGGACCTGGGACAGCAGCAATTTCAAGACAACGAAGGGCACGGTGTGCAGGTGCCATTTTTCACTTCTTCCAATATGCACGCAGTATCTCACATTGGATATTCCCACCTAAACTGCAATTAAATGTATTCTACAGAAGTGTGAGGTGAACTGATTGACTTGCCTTTATTAAATGCTCCTGGCTTTAAATCCTGGAAGATTACAATATCAACAGCATCAAAGAACTGCAGAATTGGTAACACTGACTTCCTAGGGCATGAAGTGCAGGCAGAGGAATGCAGTGAGGTAAAAAAAAATACTGAAAACACTGGGGAAAACCACCAGATCTGCAACTGACCTACACTAACAGCAGAAACAAATGTATCTATGGAAAATGGACTTAAAATATCCTTCATAGATAACTTAGGAAATATTTTCCTTTCCAGGGTATTTAAATTGCACCATAGTGCCAAGCTACAGATTTAAGACAATCTCTGTCTGCATTACCTTTTCTAAAATGTGTATGGCTCATTTCCAATATGACATAAGTCTAGGATAAACTGAAAACGAAGACTGATCACATCACTAATGATGTGAGTGAGATGTTTAGGCTTAGAACATGTCATAAAATAAAGGAAAAAGGGAAACTACATGCATTAAATACAAGGGAAAAAAAAAAGTATCAGCAACTTGGAACCAAGACTTATCCCTTGCATGACTTAGTTCTGTTTGTAAATCTGAGCAGAGCGGTGACTTCTCTCATTCTGCTTCCACTAACATGGTTAGCAAGAATGAAACAAATGAAAGTTATGCCATGGCATTTTCAACCAGGCTATTTTCATAACTAGCTATGGAAATCAAGCTTGGTATTGGGAAGGAATGCAAAATTAAGTCAACTTTTTCTTTTCCAAAAAAGGAATTAAGTAGGAGAAAGCCTTTCTAACAGAGCGCATGTGCCACATTCTTTGCGAAGGCAGGTGGGAAGGAGCAAAACAAAGATGAACGTGGAGTAGTGGGCTAAGTGAACCACATCAGTTTGTTGTAAACACTTCAGAGCTTGTTATAACTCCATTAAAATCCAGGAAATTACCTAAGAAATACATTCCTCCCCAGTAAGTCAGACCAAATAATGCAGCTATGACATGCTGATAAATTATAGCAGGCGGATATTCAGACAGGAATTATTTGCTACAGTATCTCATCTTCAGAAAACACCATGGTTGAAAAAGGTGCAATCTGTACAGCAAAACTGGTGGTGAGGCTCTGACCACTACACAGTACATTTTTCAGGTGCTTCACTGCACCCTGGCTCTAGTCTTGCTCCACAAATGAAAAGCCCATTTGCGGCTAAAGCACAGTAGATGCCCACCTTCCTGTGCTCTTTCAACCAAAACCAACTTTCAGACAGAATCACAGAATCACAGAACGTTAGGGATTGGAAGAGACCTCAAAAGATCATCTAGTCCAATCCCCCTGCCGGAGCAGGATCACCTAGATGAGGTTACACAGGAAGGCGTCCAGGCGGGTTTTGAATGTCTCCAGAGAAGGAGACTCCACAACCTCTCTGGGCAGCCTGGTCCAGGGCTCTGTTACCCTCACTGAGAAGAAGTTTCTTCTCAAATTTAAGTGGAACCTCCTGTGTTCCAGTTTGTCCCCGTTACCCCTTGTCTTATCATTGTTTGTCACCGAGAAGAGCCTGGCTCCATCCTCGTGACACTCACTCTTTAAATATACTGAACCAAATCACAGCAACTGGGGTGACAGGAAATGAGCTATGGAAGTACACCGCCAATCTGACCTACAATAATAATGCAAACCTTACATAGGTTATTATATAACTGTGTTTAGGTAACATGTTTACTCCAACCATCACAAATCATAGTGCACTGATATACATCCCTTTTAGTTCCATATTTTCTGTTTCAACAATTTTGTTTCATAACTGGGTTGCTTGCAGTCTAGATTCAATTTTCATTTATATACAGAAAAAGATTATTTCCTCATATATACTGAGAACATAAAGTAATTTTAAAAATTATAATTACTATTGAATGAAAAGGTGATCCAGGGCACAGTGCTGTCATTGGGTTGTAACGTTGATGGCATAGGAAATACAGCATCTCGGCACGAGAGCTATAACTGGAGATACAAAGAGCACTGAACATACCCCGGCACTGCCCATTCCAGCCGCGGAATCCCACTCTGCAGGGAATGCACTGGTAAGAGCCAGGAGCATTAACGCACTGTGCATCTGGACAAGTGGCTGGAGTCAGGCATTCATCAATGTCTTCAAAAGAGAAGATCAAAGGAAACACAGGTCAAAGCCATAAAAGAACACTCAATATCAAATGAACCTGGTTATTCTGACTGTGCTCATGTTATACTAATACATTTAAAGAGTTATGTACTTTGTCTGTTAGAGACACAAGAAGAAACAATTTCTCACAGATTTGTACCAGCGAAGGGGTATCTCTGAGAAAAAAATTAGATGATAGTACATGCAACTGAATCTGAATTTTCTGTTATACTGCGAATCTTTGGTAGGCGCTCCATAACATACAGCAGATTCGATTTCTAGCTTAGATAGGTAAGAATAACTTTGCTTATGTCACCCCTTCACGGTATTGAAGTGCCCTGAGGTTCTTCCTCAGTCACAAGAGACTTTGGAAGTGCATTGCAACAGCAATAAAATTGTAACTCTGGCTTCACAAAGCAAAGAAGAATTTGGTATTCTCCAGTGTGTTACAGTTATGTAGCATGTAAGCATTATGCAGACTGTACATTTAATTGTATGAATGTAATCAAAGGTGTTTACAGAGAGTAGGGAGTTAATTATGTCTGAAAGAAGGCATGAGCAACACACTCATCACTGAGGCTGGCAATGTTTGGGGTGACAGAGGGACTTGTTGCATCAGGAGAGGTCCTAGTTTAGCCATGACAAAACAAGAGATAGGTCCTGAAAAACTCATGGACCTCATGTCCAGGCTCTGAGCATCTAACAAGAACTTCTTAGTCTGCACCAAACAAACCCACAATACATGTAATATGTGCAGTCTAAAAGAGACTGCACACAAAAATGACAGTCAAAGACAAAGTTGCTGTCAAATGATCGATGATCAGATGATGCTGGAATTAAAACTGCATGGTCAGCCTCGTTCCCATCTGCTCTCATACTTGAATATCATTTTATAATATGGTCTTTAATTGCACAATAATTATAATTTTTTCTATCAAATACTTGCTTCACGTAGTGCACAGAACTAATGAAACCCTCCACCTTCCTGTCCCTTCCCTGCCCCAAGCCGTTGTGTCTTCTGCAATTAATGGCTGCTACTCCAGCAGAGACAGTAGGGAGGCTATTTAATTCTAGTTCTGGAAACAAGCTCACAGAAGGAATGCAGCCGCCAAGACTTGTTATTTAACTAGACAATGCTCCAACTTTCAGAGAACTGAACATCTCAGCTCCAAACAACTCACTGGATGTGGGCAAATCACGATTTTGGATAGAGTCACGACTATCCAGCTGAGGATACTTTCTCATAAAAACAGCAACAGGCCTCTTCGGCTGCTACGATGCAGACCTGCAAACATTTCTCAGTGCAACTGCTGTGAGATTTTTTAAATTTAACTAACAAAAAAATCCACTTCTGCAGAAATCTGTTCTCAGAACTGCCTGGACTGTATCTGCCCTCAAAACACACCATTAATGATGTATTTGGTACAGAAATTCTCAGTCAAAAGTCTAAATGCAGCAAAGCTTAAAGAAATCACAAGAAGACTTTATAGGAAGACTTTATCATCTGCAATGATGTTCAGCTATGCTTGTAAACTGTTCTACACGAATAACAGACTCTACAAAAACAATGTATATGCACTCTTTACATTTCCCAGGCCAGCCCTCCGACAGAGCTTGTGTGAGTATAGCTTGAAGGCAGAATAAAGGTGGGGTGAAGAAACTTAAGTGAAGTGGTTGTACTGTGTGCAGCTCAGAGGATTCTTGCCTTTGTTCCTGAAGTGTGGAGGAAGTGGAAAGGAGATATTTGGGGAATCTGGAACCTGTCAGTAGGGTGACTGTAATGTGTAGGTGTAATGACACGGTGAAATGATTCCCCGAATGTGTCACTTCCTTGGTTTGATGGATTTAGTGTAGAAGGGTTCTTTCCCTTAAGCAACTTCAAATAACTTTCAACAGAGAATCTGGTTTCAGAAATTACACGTTGTTACGTTAAACGATAGAGGACTGACACCGCACTACTTAAAGTACAAGTTTATACGAAATTTGACACACTGTGATATTCTGATTTCTAGCCTACTTTAACCTCAGATTCCCTACTGACAGGGAAGATTTGGAAAAGGTAGTTGTAAGAGTGGAGTGTATGAAACATTTATTTAAATGAAAAGAAAAAATTGTCTGAATAGAAAGAGGAATCTTTTAGCAATGCTCAGACCAGCAAATACATCCACAGTAGCTTTAAGTTGCTTATCTGCTAGGCAACCTAACATGTTGGCAACTTTATTCTGTCCTAAGTAACTTCGACTAAAGCATGGACAAAACTATGTTTAAAATGAAATGGCTGCTTGTGGTTTTTTAGTTCACAATTCAAGCTGAAAAGGAAAAAAGAAAAAAGAACAGCAAAAGGCAAAAATACCGTGCTGAAAAATAATGTGAAGTTGTCCTAGGACCTCTGCCAACATGAAAGACCTGCTATATATACATTTCCAAATTTAAAAAAAAAAGTCAATTTATCATTTGTTACCTGTTATAATATAGGAAATATTATAGACAGGAAATAAGGACAGAGTGGGATGGGAAAAGGGAACTCTGAACACAAATAGATATAAAACCACTGTGTCAAGACATTCAATCTGAAATGAAATAGCAAATGGACACTGAAAGGAATGAAAATAAATACATCAAGTAGAAAAATATTAATTTAAACGTTTTTTAAAAATCTGTGTCAAGTTATTTTAATATTTCCATCTAATAGCCAGACTTCTTAAAAAAATAAAGGAATAGATGTAAGTTTTCTGTTGAGATCAGAAACAACAATCAATGTGAACAAATGTCTCTCCCTATTGCAGTAGTTTGGCTTGGCAACTTTTACTGTATTACTACTGGTGAAGAGTCCAAACCTACCTTCACATTCACCTCTTCTATTCATTTGGTATCCACTGTCACAATATTCACATCTGAAAGAGCCAAGGGTATTTATACAAAAGCCTTCCCCGCAAGTATGAGGTCTGGAACATTCATCAAAATCTGCAGATGAAAAGGAGAAGTTAAGAGAAACTCTGCTTCACCTTTTAATAACTGAATGCTTGCATCTCCCCTAAATTCTGCTTTAACTGAACTTAAGTTTGGATTCTCAAGCTGTTTGCAAGCCACTGCCCTACAGCTGTTCTCAGTGAGCAGTTCCATCTTTGCCTTGTTGCTTGTCATCGCAGAGAGAAGGAGATCGAGTAACAACCAGGCAGTGAAGCCAGTAAGCAGCCCTGTGGTTGCAAACACAATGTGTGTCACTGCGTGTATATTGTGCCTGAGGCAGCACCAAACTGAGGAAGATCACAGCTGTCTTTATCAGCCTGCAAAGTCCATGGCTGTTTGCAGCTATATTTAAAAATATGGTTTGTTGTGGCTGCTAGTGATTGAAAGGGTTTTGAATATTTTTACATTCAACCACAGAAGGTGTCTACTAAATGGCAATTTTCCTAAACAAGTAAGATACTGAATAAATTCTTGTTTTTCAACAAATTATAATTTTGAAAAGTAGTAAAAGCTACTCAAATATTTTCCTCATCACAATACCTGGTGAGAGAGAGTTAAAAACACTTACAGACATCAGTCCAGCTCCAATGACATTGAGGTAAAAAGCTGAAAAGAGTACTTTAGAGGGTTTTAGATAAGCTTCTGGATTAATTCTTAAATTTTGATTTTCGATAAAGGAGACCAGTAATTACCAATGCAGTCAGTTCCATCTTCACCGGCCATGAATCCAGCTTGGCAAATACATAGGAAACTTCCTTCTGTATTTTCACAGCGTCCAAGGGAACAGAGATGGGGCGCCTGATTACACTCATTAATATCTATTAAAGAAAGAAAAACATCACGCTATAGAGGAACATACTGTTCAAATCACTACACAAGCACAAGCTGCAGGCATGGAACATTAACATAATTTGTATGAAACAGAAAGACTTTAAGTTGCCATTTGGCTGCGTACGTGTGTAAATTTTTTTTTAATACTGTAGTTGCGCCCGATAGCATGCGTATCAGTGTGAAGATACTGAACTTTCGGTAGAGTGTAAAGTTGACAGTATACAATCTGGCAACGTTATATAATAAACTCTTCCTGATCCAAGTTACAGAAGAACCAGCATACTCTGCATGAAGGAAGGATACCGATACAGCTGCTTCCAAATCTGAAAGGGCTCATTTAGAGCCAAGTCTGGGCTCAGAGCTCATCAGAGCCCTCTGTTCCAGAAGTTACCAGCTCTGAAGGGGATGAAGACCCAACTTTGCAGATCTCCTAGTGCATGCTTCTCAGATTTCTGCTGAAGTATATTGTAGACGACTGAAGACCTAACAAAATGACTGAATTCACACCAGCTGCAGAGCCGGTAGCTGGGCAAACAGTTCTGAGAAACGGGGACTAATTTAGCTATTCTTTCTCCAAGCAGAAGTTCTGAGTGGCTGAAAGGCTGCATCAGAGACTAACTGGCAAATTTCATTTGACATACAAAAACTAGTTTCTGTGTAGTTTGGAACAATTCAGTAGAGGAAGCAACTCCTGACTGCTCTGTACAAACTTCCCCTAACCAGACTCCACATTTCAAGCACATCATAGTACGGTTATTTCAGAGTTCTGAAAGCGTCCATTCATACCAGAGCACTTAGTCTGCTGATCGTTAAGTTTGTACCCCTCGTAGCAGATGCAAGTGTATCCCACAGGCAAATTAACACAGTGTCCCGATCCACAGATATCAGGATTAACTGTACATTCGTTGATTTCTAAACAAACAAAAAAAAGGTTAATATTAAACTCTCCTGCGTATTTCAGTAAGTGCACAATATTCTGTAATCCTAGTAGAAAGATCAGGCCTGAAAACAACTATAAATCAAGTTTGTAAGTCCTGACTTTCTGTAATGGATTTCCTATCTGGAAGAATCTAGAAAGCATTTAGGCTTTTCCTAGAGACTCACTCTCATGTCCCATTCAAGAGGTATAAATGGGTACATTAAAAAGTACAGTAAAATGATAATATAAAATAAAAATTTGTACTATTTAACCTTTGCAGTGAAGGTAAAGAAAGTACCTGTAGTGGGTTTCTGATTATTTTTATGAGAATACTCATCTGTCAATGGCTTGGATGCATGCTGTAAGATAAGGAGATTCAGATACGGGCAGCACTGGATGCTAAACACCCTTACAGTAGTTTTACAAATTCTCAAAACGTATGTGCTACTGCAAAAAATACTAATGATTGTGTTCAGCCGCAATTTAAACTAAGGGTGCACAGCAGCATGAAATAATAACTCCTGAAAAAGAAGTTATCATCTGTAAAGAATAACAACTTGTTCAGACTATTTAGAAATAGGTTACATTTAAATGTAACTAAATCTTAAAGTACAGTATTAAGGCACAACATTAAGGATGTTTCTGAACATCCCAACTCTAAGTGTGTTCCGTTTTTTAAATCCAATTTAGGATTTTGTCGTACAAATCTTATTTCACTTGTACTTTACTATCTCTTAAATATCTGAACAACACTTGGAACTGTAACTGAACAACAGACTGATTTACTTGTTTATAGCACACAGCAGTTTCTAGTTCCACTCCTTTTCCCAAGGAAAAAAAAAACAGCAGAACATGGAAAACCATCATTTTTTTTCTAACTCATGCAAGTTCCCAGCAGAGAAACTTCCCCTCCCTAATGAAGCAGGGAGCTGGCTAGCAGAAGGGGCACAATCACAGCAGAGCTGACATCCAACTTCTGGTTTGACAAAATCTTACAGTAACTCCTCATCTGTCTTTTGCCGAATATGCTGATCTACAGCCCTCAAAGAACAGGATCACGTGTACTTCATGAACACACGTGCAGACTGTCTAAAGAGCTGACTTGTAGCCAAGAAGTCTTCAGTTTTGGACTCTGGTTGCAGATATTGTAATCTATTAATTTTTCCTCCTGTCATTTATTTGTGGGCACAAAAATGGCAGGTACAACCTGGGAAGGTCCAGTCCTAGCTCTGCTGACAGCACTCTCATTGCTGTGCTGCTCTGTACTATTTCTCCCCAGAGTATTCCTTTCTGTTTACTGCTACATTTGCTTCGCTGTTATAATTCAGGAGTAGCATGGAACAAGTTATAGTGTCAGGAACTCGGAGTCATTTCTTAATTTATTTTAGTTCTAAAAAAGGAAGTATAATACCTGTAACTTGAGTAGGTGCAATTACTTGACTTGCACTTGATGTAGAGACTTCAGGAGCAACTTCAACAGGCAGAGGAGGAGATGTTTTCTCAATCACTACTGTGTGACATGGAATGGAAATCAATCACATTCAAAAAAAAACCCCTTAAAGCACTCACACACGATACCGAATAAGCCAGACACTATGGAGCTTTTCACTAGTTTATTCTGCTTAAATCTGGAGTAGAAAAAATAGTATAATTGGATTTTCCATCATTCTACTGCTTGTGAAAAAAACTGAGGTGCTAAAGAAAGCAAGCACCACAGTAAAACTTTTGCAGTGAAAGTTAGGCATAAATCTACAAGGAGACACATAAGTAAAATCTCCTCTTGAAAGGGGTACAACTCTGTTGACTTCAAAATTCTCATGTACAGAATCCAGGGTATCACTTTTGCCTAAAATACGTCTTTGCCTCCTAAAATGTCACCTAGTCAATATCAACCTCTCAATTCCTCCCATGTCAGTTTCCATGATATTTTTTCCCCGTATTCTGCTTATGGAAAAATTTTTTGTGAAGCTGCAAGCAATTTTTCATTAACCTCTGTTACAACTGCTACCTTCCCATTCTTTGAAGAATTGTAAGCACTCTCTCACACTGAAAGACAAGTCAAAACAAGTTACCTGGAAACTGTGGATGCAGGTTAATTGTTGAAATTCCAGGAGAAAGCTGAGGCTGCCCAGGCTCTAGATAAGGCTGTTTTTCTTGATCAAGGGAAGCTATTTCCTAAAAGAATGATTAAAAATTTGCATTCTGAAAGCATATTCTTAATTCAGCTATCACAAAAACCCACAAACTCCTGACTTGAGAAACTTAACATTCCCACTTGAGTGGCTTTTGGTAGTAATCATTAATGACCACTGATTTAAGGCTGAAAGAACATGGAATACTACATTTATTTACACAATGTCACACCATTCAACATTGATTTTATTTGAAGCAGCCATTTCTTGGAGCTTCTTACTGTATCTTTGGTTTTGTCCCTCCATAGTTTTCCCATCCTCTGGTCTTTAATTGCAGTTCAACATCACATAAAAGTATATAAACCGATGTCTCTTAAGTCTTTAACCAGTGTCATAGGTTCTCTCTTAGCTACTGCACTGATCATCTTATTTTCATAAAAGTGTTACACATTTTTAAGTCTTTAGAAAAATGAAATTAAGTACAGCTGCAGTTATACCTAATGAATCCCATCATCTTTGGCACAGAGAACCTGGAACCTCCAGAATGGGCAAGTGAACAGAGATATGCACCTGCTTTTCTCACCAGATACAAAGCAGCCTTAAAAAAACTAGGAAACTAACCTGGGCATTAATATAAGTCTCGTCAGCAGAAGTCATAAATGTTACTCAAAGTTTCATATTATTTCTCTCCAACTCATTTTCTCTAGCTGTCAGTATCTATGGCTTCCCTTCAAATAGTCTGCATTTTTCAACATCCTCTTTAAAATACAGCCTCCAGAAGAGGTGAGAACAATGTAGCAGTAGACCCTCCACCAATGCCCTACAGAGAGGCTAAGGTCACAGAATCACAGAATCTTAGGAGTT